TAGCTTGAATAACAACCTTCTTTTCAATAGATTACTCTAAATTCATAAACATAACATAGGTATATTAACATCACTCTAACCCCTACGCAAGACAGAAATATTTATTAATTCTTTGCCTTACTAAATAAATGAGTCTAGAATACACTAAAAATAATAGATACCGAAAAGATTAGACAGACCCCTACGCAAGGTAAAAAGTATATTAAATTAAATATTTATTAAATCTTCGTCTTACTAAATAAATAGGAGCATTAAAGCAGGCTCCGCCCCTCCCCCTGCACCCCCCACCACGCCTGCGGCCATACTACCTACTGGGGGGGGGGGGCAAAGCCCCCCCAACCATCCCATTAGAATGATTCTTTTGTTACTTTATTGTTAATAACTTTTTAGCGAATAATCCACTAAATCCCATAAACATGACATACGATTAAATGAGCATATAACTTATTGTGTTAATAACTTTTTAATAAACAATGAGTGACAGGAAACGTCAGTGGCCTTGAACTTTTTAAGGGTCAAGGTCAAGATCAAAATCAGTCGAAAGTCATTTGGGGCTGACTGTGTAAAGGTAAACATTTACCTATATTATATATATTAAATATATTGTTATTATAATAACTATAATAACATCTAACATTATTCCGATATAGACAACCAACTGTAACTATTTACATTGAATTACATATTAAATATAAATATTTTATTATCTCAAAATGTTTATTATTAAAAATGTATCTGCAATTTTTATTCGTTTCTTTATTGCGTAACAGTTTATATCGTTAGTATATTGATATTACAATGATTGATGCGTTATTTATTAAGTAAACATTTTATTTAATATATTGCTATTGCAATGTTTAATAATAATTAATGCGTTTCTTATTAAGTAAAAGTTATCATTTACATATTATAAAAAAACAATATAACAAAAAATAAAAACTCAAAATATGATTGTATCTTACGGTAACTCGGATACGAGACTTAAGTTCGGCTAGTTCTAGTCGTACAGTATGAGCTAAAGCAAGAGATGCATGTTTAGTAGCACCATACACATTCATTCCCACATCAATCGGCATTATAGAATGGCTCTCAACGCTGTATAAAAATATTAATATTAAGAAAACACATATTGCGCAATAATAATACAATTAACTTTTCAAAAAAGTTTTTCGTAATGTTGAATCTTACTGAAAATCCAGAAAATGTTGGGTTTTTTCGGAAATTTACTTATTTTAAAGATTTGTGTTGATGACTGACTCAACTATTGTTAATACAAATCAATATTACCTGGTAATAGTAAAAATATGTCCGTCATCGTCTCGTTTACGCATCGAACGCACTGCTAGGTTCGTACACACGGCGACTGCAAGGACATTAGTATCTAATAGTTTTTCATATGTCTTCCTCTCGGTATCTGCAAATGTAATTTAAGACATTTTTTTTTTAAGGAATCAACACTGAGAAGACCAAAGTCTTTTATTGTATAATAATGTCCTAGTTCGCCATTG